CCTTTGAGATCATCGAGTCCAACCCAGCCCCAACACCTCACCTAAACCCTGGCAGCCAGTGCCACATCCAGGCTTTGTTAAACACATCCAGGGATGGTGACTCCACCCCCTCCCCGGGCAGCCATTCCAGAACTTTATCCCCCTTTCTGTAAAAACTTTTTCCTAATATCCAACCACCATCTCCCTTGATGCAGTTTGAGGCTGTGTCCTCTGGTTCTGTCAGTTCCTGGAGAAAGAGCCCAGCCCCAGCTGAGCACAGCCACCTTTCAGGGAGCTGTAGAGAGTGATAAGGTCACCTCTGAGTCTCCTTTTCTCCAGGCTGAGCACCCCCAGCTCCCTCACTGCTCCCTCCCAGCCCAGGCTCTCCAACGACCCCATTCCCATCAATTCAAAAGGGCAGCAACACCAGAGAGGTTGCACCGGTTTATTGCTGTAAAAGAAGCGTCGAGTTCCTAAAGTTCCTGTGCGCTGGAAGCTGAGGCATGGCCTGCAGGAGGAGCTCTCTGGACGTGTCACTTGGTCGCTTCTTTGTCGACAGCTCCTGCCTGTTCCAAGGGCTTCCCTACACCCCCAGGCAAACGGGAGCGGGGGCCGGGCACCTTCCCACTCCTGCGATCGAACACTTCCAGGGATTTTTTAAACTGTTCGGCTGTCTTCTTCCTCCATGCCATCTTTCTCTCCTGTTCTTTCAAAAACTGCTGCCGTAATTGTTTGTAGAGACGATGGGTTTTCTTTTTAGCCTTGTCAAACTTTTTTACCTTTGTGAGAGCAAACATAAGACTTTATTGCCACTCTCGTACCATGAAATAAAGAACTCCAAAGTGGTGCTTGTCTTCGGGAAGAGACAGATCCCACCACAACCCACACTATGGCCAAGGTGATCTCTGAGCAAAAAGCTCCAATATACATAATCACAAAGTCACAGAATCATGGAATGGTTTGGGCTGGAAGCGATGTTAAAGCTCATCCCACTGGGACACCTTCCACCAGACCAAGTTGCTCCAAGCCCCCCAGGGATCCAGGGGCAGCCGCAGCTCTGGGCACTCTGTGCCAGGGCCTCTCCATCCTCACAGGGAAGAATCTCTTCCCAAAATCCAATCTAAACTTATTCCCTTTCAGGGTATCATTGGAACAATGTCTGAGTCCAGGTTAGGCCCGTGGCCAATGATGCTTGTAGGTTATTCCAAACCACAAGTGACTTGGAGATAGGATATGACAGCTGTGTCCTGAGGTTGGGATGGAGGCACAACCACTCGTGTCAAAGGTGGGCCAAATCCAAGAATTGCCTCTCCCAACCATTGGAGACAGCCTTGGCACCCCCTCCTGATCCAGCTGGCTGAAGACCTAAAGGCCTCCTTGTGCCACAGGGGACCATGAGCTTTGTCCCAGGGAAGAGGAGACCTCACCTGCTCCTCCAGGAGTTGCAGCTCATGGGCACAGGTGCGGCTGCTGGACGTGGGCAGGGGGTAGTCCAAATCAAGGTCCCAATCTGCAGGGCTGCTCTGGGTGAGAAAGGGCTTCATGTAAGAGGCCCACAGACCAGCTCTCGGAGTGTGAGGGGCCCCCAGCCCAGTGTGAGAGTTCCCCAGTCCCAGGATGGTGTGAGGGTCCCCCAGCCCCAGGACAGTGTGAGAGTTCCCCAGCCCTGCACCGGGGCCTGCTGATCTGCTGGCTCTGGGGTGGTGTGAAGAAGGTGACACGAGGCCGTGACTGGCCCTGCTCCTCCATGATCTTGTCTCTACTCTTGGTGGTCAGTTGTCGTCATGGTGACCTTGGCAGGTGGCCTGTCAGGAGTCACCTCCAAACTCTGCCTCGGTGACACAGGGGTCCAACAGCTTCTCCTGCCCTTCACCCGCTGCACCAGGACCATCCTTGATGTCTGCCTGGAGTGGTGCCCAGGCTCTGTCCCCACATGGAGCATCCGTGTGTCCCCTGAAGGACACCCCCACTGCCTGCATCTGCAGCTGCTGGGCTCAGTGACAGCCAGGACCACAGCGTGGGGACACAGGGGGTGAGTCAGTCCCACTGGCTGCTTGGCCTCATGGAGCACCCCTCCAGCACATTGTGCCTGTGGGAATAGAACCACAGAACCATGCAATCATGGAATGGTTTGGATTGAAAGGGACCTTAAAGCTCACCTTGTTCCACCCCCTGCCATGGGCAGGGACACCTTCCACTATCCCAGGGTGCTCCAAGCCCCATCCAGCCTGGCCTTGGGCCCTGCCAGGGATCCAGGGGCAGCCACAGCTGCTCTGGGCACCCTGTGCCACGGCCTGCCCACCCTCCCAGGGAACACTTTCTTCAAAATATGCAGTCTAAACCTAGTCTCCTTCAGTTTGAAGCCATTCTTCCTTGTCCTGTCTCTCCAGACCCTTGCCCAAAGTCTCTCTCCATCTTTCTTTCTCTCTCCATCTTTCTTGTTGGCTTCCTTCAAGTACTGGAAGGATGTAATTAGGTCACCCTAAAGCCTTTTCTTCTCCAGGCCAAGCTATCCCAATTCTCTCAGCCTTTCCTCACAGCAGAGCTGCTCCATCCCTCTGATCATTCTGGTGCCTCCTCTGGGCTCTCCAGCACTTCCAGGTCCCTCCTGTGCTGGGCCCAGGGCTGGGGCAGCTCTGCAGGTGGGGTCTCACCTGAGTGGGGCAGAGGAGCAGAATCCCCCCTCCCCTGCTGCCCACGCTGGGGGCTCAGCCCAGCACACGGTGCCTTTCTCCAGGGTCCATTCCTGCCACCCCAGCAAAGAGCCCAAGAGCAGCTCCTGGCAGCCGGGTCAGGCCAGTGCCAGGTCCAGCATCAGCAGATCCGGATGCTCAGCTCTCCAGCCGGGATGGTGCCCCATGTTTATGGAAATGGACTAGGAGAAACACTGCTGCTCTGAGTACAAACAAGCTGTTGTGACCTCTTGGCAAGAAATCCAGGGAAAGCCAGCAGCAGTTCTTCCAGAGCCATGCTGGAGCGCTGAAAATAACCTCACATCTGAGGAGCTGGAACATGAAGTCTGTGCTGCTGAAAGTACAGAGGATTTGAGATACCCCAGCAAGTAGTGAATTTTACTATTAATAAAATCAGCACAGTTTTCACATCTCATTTGTACCAGGGCCTTGACAGGCATTCCAAGACCACCAAGTGCTCAGGGAGTGTTGTTTTATTCCAGCACAAAATGTGCTGCTGAGGCAGGACAGCAACTTGCTGTGAGTCAGGAGACTTGGAATGTCACCAGCGCTTGTTTTTCCTAGCTGGGATACAGCTTTGGGTTTTGAGACAGCAACTCCAATCCTGTCATCTGCTGCCTTCCAGAGAGGGAAGGAAGAGCACAGGCTCCAGCATCTCTGGTTGGGAGAGACCCAAAGATGTCACCTTTCTCTTCCCCAACTTGATTGCCACAACTCTTTTTCAGGAGGTGCTTGGGAAATCTATGGTTGTTGTCCCTGCCCATGGCAGGGCACTGGAATGAGATGAACTTTAAGGCCCCTTCCAGCCCAAATCGTTCCATGTCTTATGATTTGAGCAAGCTCTTCCTTGATTGTGAAGAACCCATTCCTTGGTGGGGTCCCATAGCCCCAATAGATGTGAGGGGCTGGAGCCAGGTGGGGGTCAGGCTCTTTTCCTAGGGAACAAGAGACAGGACAAGGGAGATAGCCTCAAGTTGCACCAAGTGAGATTTAGTTTGGATATTAGGGGGAAATTCTTCATAGAAGGGGTGGCAAGGCATTGCAACAGGCTGCCCAGGGCTGTGGTGGAGTCCCTATCCCTGTAAATGTTAAAAAAAAAAAAGTGAGTATGTGGCACCTGGGCACATAGGTTAGTGCTGACTTTGCCAGTGCTGGGGGAACAGTTCGACTTGGTGATCTTAGAGAGCATATCCAACCTTAACCACTCCATCTTTCTCTGATTCTAAGACTTTTAAAATGTCTTTAAGCTCCTGTGACTTCATCTTTTAGAAACTCAGCTACTCAGCCAAGAGGCTGCTCAGGGCAGGGCAGGAGCCTGTGACGCAGAGCCAGCAGTGAAGCCAGCAGTGAAGTCACCAAATGGTTAAGGACAAAGCCTGAAGGGGATTTTTGGGTGCTGGAACAGAGGCTGTGGGGCTGGAAGGGAGCCTGAGGAGTCATCCTGTCCATCTCTTGCCCTCCACTCTCATTTGGGTAGCTTCAAACACCCTCAGCTCTCTGGGCTAGGCTGTCCTACAAGGAAAAATGCAATCTTCTTACACCTACCCTAAAAAAGGCTTTGCATAATTCCAGCTCCATACCCAGGACAATGTGACACTGATTGAGGACTGGGATGTGGTAGGTTTGAGAGCACAGCCCAGCATATCCCAGAAGGATGTCATTTCCTGGCTCAGGCTCCCCAGCTTAGCAAGTGTTTGTCCCTGCTGCAGATCCCAAATCCCACTGTGCCAGGGCAGACAGGCCCCAGGGCAGCAGCTAATCCCTGTCCTGAAACAGAGATAATTTCCACCCTGTGCTCCCAGGCACATAGTAAATCCAGCCTGGATTTCCTCTCCTCTGTGTGGGCACACGCTGCTCCTGCTCCAGTGCCATCCCAGCACATTCCATCACCACTTCCAAGGAGGGGTTCAGCAGTGGTTCAGCAGCAGATCCATGAAATCTGGCACGATGCCATAACTACCCTGTCCCACTGAACTCGGGTTTATTTCTCCCATCTTGGACTTTCACACTTCATCTGGAGCTCCTTGAATGAGAGGGACTTTGAGCAAGGGCATGGAGGGACAGGACACAGGGAATGGCTTCCCACTGCCAGAGGGCAGGGATGGATGGGATATTGGGCAGGAATTGTTCCCTGGGAGGGTGGGCAGGCCCTGGCACAGGGTGCCCAGAGCAGCTGTGGCTGCCCCTGGATCCTTGGCAGTGCCCAAGGCCAGGTTGAATGGGGCTTGGAGCACCCTGGGATAGTGGAAGGTGTCCCTGCCCATGGCAGGGGATGGGATAAGATGACCTTTAAATTCCCTTCCCATCCAAAGCATCTTGTGATTCCATGATTCTTTGTCAGCCAGCACCTCCAAGCATGTGGAGATGCCACCCATCCCTCAGAGCTGTGACCCCACCTCTCCAGGAAAGTGTCCCATCTGCTCCCTTCCCAAAAACCCCAAGGCTGGGATGCCTTTCTCTCATCCAGCTTGGCCGGAGCAGCACCGGGCTCAGCACATGGGCAGCTGTCAGTGTGGTGGGAAACCCAATCCTTCCTGGGGCCGGAGCAGAGGGATAACACCAGGCTGAGATCATGGCCTGGAATACCCAGAGGGAGGGTCACCACAGCCACCCCTCCCACCACCGCTGGGCTTCCCACGGACAACACAACCCCCAATCCCAGCAGGAATGCTGCTCTTGAACCCCCAGCTACTGTCACCACTGCACAGGGACACACATGGCCACAACCCTGCAGGGCACTGCACGCACCACACAGCACCGGATCCAAGGTGGAAAAGGCAAAGCCATGGATGGAGCCAGCATCCAGGCAGACCCCAGTGCCAACAAAGGATAGGGATAGGCTGGGATAGGCAGGGAGTCCCGGGGGAAAGGCTCCTGAGCCGGCCATGCTGCAGGTGGCAGGTTTGCAGGTCTCACTCCTCCTTCCAACACTCCCCGCTGTGAAAAAGCCTCTGGAATGTGAGCCCAGAAAGCAAACACACTCCTGGCCACAGCAGGGGCCGCTGGCTGATAACTGCGGGCCCTTTGTGTCCTTTTTGGGATGGGCACCACTCCAGCCGCGCCTGGAGCACCTTGGCAAAGGTGGCAGCAGTGGTGGCACGCTGGGCACACCCAGGAGAGCTGCCCGCCCCTCACCCGTGTGCTGGGAAGGAGCCGTTCCACAGGCGCTGCTGGAAGCGGCCTCAAATCACTGCCCTGATAATGGAAAAAAATCAGTGTTTGGGAAAGAGGGCGGGAACCAGTGGGGACTTTCCGGGGGAAGCGGAGTTGTGCTTTCGTGTTCAAGTGAGTCACCACGCTGAGAGGAGTGGAACAAGCAACACATGGTGTGACTTTTGGGGCTGTCCTGTGCAGGGCAAGGAGCTGAACTCGATGATCCTTGTGGGTCTTTCCAACCCAGGATATTCCATAATTCCGTGACTCAGAGGACAGGATGCTCCAGTATCATGGCACCCCAGAGCAGAGCAAAGCTCCCAGTCCTTTTCCAGATACTTGTGGTCAGTGACTGCTCTCTGTGTCACTGCATCCCTCCCATGTCCTGTGGGGTGTCCCAGTGCCAAACCTGGGGCTGGCAAACCGCAGCTGTCCCTGCTGGAGCTGGAGATAGTGGATACAGCTTCCCAAGATCTGCAACATCCCGAGGCACTTCTGTGCCTCAGTTTCCTATCCCTGCACTGGGGGCTCCTCCCTTCCTTCCTTCTTGGCCAGGAGATCGCTGGGAGCCAAGGGTGGAGTACAACAAAAATAGAGCTTTATTTTGGGACAAGTGCAATTGGAGCTGGGTCCTTCGGCCCCGGCGTGGAGATACAAGTGTGGCAACGGCCACCACAGACCCCGGCAGCGGTGCCAGGCACACACACCGGGTTGTCCTTTGCCATGGTGAGCATGTGCTGTGTCACAGCCCAGCACTGTCCCGTGTCACAGCCCACCACTGTCCTGGAGAGATGGCAGCTGGTCCAGGCCGCTCCCATGCCCTCGGCTGGGCTCTCACCATCTCTGCCACGGATGCCAGTCTGCAGCGAGCTGGGAGGGGCGGGGACAGCTGTGGGGGCTGAGGGGCGTGGTGGGGACAAATACAACATCGGCAGCACCACCGCCAGCCCCGTGGGATTGTCACGACACGGTGGGGATGGGGACAGGAGAGGGGACACACCCGCCCTGTCCTGGGCAGTCGGTTCGACCACGAGAACCGAGTGTACACAGAGAGCCAGGGGCCACTCCAGCCAGCAGAGCTCAGTAGTGACACACACACAGACAGACATACAGACACACACACACACATACTGTCTTCCCAGGTGGGACAGCAGCTGGATGCACAGAGCTGTGCCCAGAGCCATGACATACAGACACACACACACACATACTGTCTTCCCAGGTGGGACAGCAGCTGGATGCACAGAGCTGTGTATCCAGAGCTGTGTCCAGAGCCACGTCCCCGGGCGTGCCCAGCCCGTGTGTGCACCATGCAGAGCCAGTGCACAGCGGTACCTGCCAGCAGCACACACCTGCACACACACACTCATGGAGCTGTGCACGCCCAGCCTGCACACGCCAGCACACGTGTGCCACACAGACACTGCACACACCTGTGTACAGCCTGTGGCAACGCACACGTGCCCACAAGCACGAGATCTGCTCGCACACAGAGCCTGTGCACACCCACACCTGCACCCAGAGCTGTGCACACCAGTGTGTGCAGTGTCATACACATCAACACACGCATGTCCCAGACAGGGCCATGCTCACACCTGCAGAGCCTGTGCACACTCACAAGCACAGAGCTGTGCATAGATCCACTCACATCCAAGTGTGCAATTCCACACACATGCACACAGCAGTGCACACATCACGTGTGCACGTCAGCACGTCCGTGTGCACAGTGCTGTGCACACCAGCACACCTGGACACTGTGCAAAGCAGGACGTGTACACTCACTTCTGGGCACACCAGAAAACACACGTGCACACAACCATGCACACTATCACACGTGTGCACCTCAGCAGCTGTGTGTGCACACAGAGCCATGCACAGTGGCACACATGTGCACAGTCACACACCCTGGCACACACATGCACAGAGGAGTCACACGCACTGGCACACAGGTGCAGTCACACACACTGACACATGTGTGCACAGAGGAGTCACACACACTGGCACACAGCTGCACAGAGGAGTCACACACACTGATACACGTGTGCAGAGTGACACACACTGGCACATGTGCACAGAGGAGTCACACACACTGGCACACGTGTGCACAGAGTCACACACACTGGCACACAGGTGCAGTCACACACACTGACACACGTGTGCACAGAGGAGTCACACACACTGGCACACAGGTGCACAGTCACACACACTGGCACACGTGTGCACAGAGTCACACACCCTGGCACACGTGTGCACAGTCACACACACTGGCACACGTGTGCACAGAGTCACACACACTGGCACACAGCTGCACAGTCACACACACTGGCACACGTGTGCACAGTAACACACACTGGCACACAGCTGCAGTCACACACACTGGCACACGTGTGCACAGAGTCACACACACTGGCACACAGCTGCACAGTCATACACACTGGCACACGTGTGCACAGCGCTCCCCCAGAGCCCTCCTGGCCCCGACCCCCCCTCGGGTCCCTACTCGTGGCGCGGGTGCCGCCGCAGCCCACGCAGGCCCCAGCAGGCGGCCAGGAGCCGGGGCTGGTGGTACAGCACCATCCCTGCCAGCGTCAGCGCCACGCCGGCGTAGCCCAGCGCACCCAGCCGCGTGCCGAACAGCAGCCACGACAGCAGCAGGTTGCCCACCACGGTGAGGCTGCCCAGGAGGTGCAGCGTGAGGGCCGAGGTGAGGGACAGGAGGCAGGAGGTGGCCAGGTTGTAGAGGACGGAGCCCAGGCAGCTGAGCAGAACACAGCCCCAGAGCGCGGCGTCGGGGCGAAGGACGCCCTGCCACGAGGGGCCCAGCTCCAGCGCCACAGCCGCCCCGAAGAGCAGCACGAAGCTGGGCAGGGACGTCAGGCCGAGCAGGGACAGCGCGTCCAGACGGTCCTCCTGCAGCAGCACGCCTGGGGGGACAGGGGGACGGTCAGTGGGACATCCCAGGGGAGCGCCTACCCGCCGCAGGGACACCCAGCACCCAGCCACATGAAAGAAATCCCAAATGTCACTGGGAAGGGGGAAATGGGGGGCAGTTCCTTCCATGGGCTGGGGGTGCCCTGGTTTGCGGGGGTCCCAGTTTAGGGGTTCCCTGGTTTTGATGTGTCTCTGTTCAGGAGTTCAGGAATCCTTCATTTCTGGGATTCCTTGGTTTAGGGGGTGTCCCACTCTGGGGATGCCCTGATTCCAAGGGTGTCTGCTTTCAAGGGTGCCTGTGTTTGGGAGGGTTGGGCAGGGCAGCTTTCCCAGCCCGTTTCAGAGCGTTTGTCCCCATGTCCCCCCGTCCAGGTCATCTGAGGACAGTGAGGACAGCGAGGACAGCAGGCACAGCAGGGCTGGCTGCCACACACAGACATACCCCTACCCTCCCCAGGGCCACTGTCCATGTCCCAGTGGTGGTAAAAAGGTGACAGGGCAGTGGCACGATGACCAGTGGTGTCCCTGAGGGGCCACATCACCCCAGTACAGCCATGGATATATTGGGGTGGGCACACTGCCCCATGCCAGAGCCCATTCCCACGGTGCCCCGAGTCACAGGCTCCAGGGGAAACGCTCCCTTCCCAGACACACCCATTCCAGCTGGCTCCTCACTGCCATTTGCCAGGGACACCACGGCCCGGGTGGCACCGTGGCCACTGGAGTCCCCGGGAAGGGGGGACTCGCAGCAAGTCCAGCAGCCCACAGGGATGGGACAGGCTGGGTGAGCCTGAGCCAAGCTAGGGCACTTCCACCTGCCATGGCCCAAGGACACCACAGGGACACTAATGGTGTCACCACTGACAAACTAAAGTCATGGCATCTCAGGGTTACAAGCGTGACACAGCCCTGAGAGGGGCAAGGGTGGCTCTGGGGTGGCACTGGCATGATACAACGGTGGCACCAAGGCCAACAGGGACAGCAGGTGGCACCAGGACTGGGGTGAAACTGGGAGCCAGTGTCACCACGGTTGGGGTGACACTGTGGCCAAGGTGGGCAGGGAGTGTCAAAACACAAAGGTGGCACTAGGGTGACACCAGTGACAGGGTGGGGTGGCATTGGGGCTGGGGTGAAACCAGGGCGCACAGAGGGTGGCAAGGCGAGCAGGGAGAACCTCCAGCACCGGGAGTGGCCCCGACGTGACAACAGCACCCCTGCACTCAGGGGCCATGCCAGGGCCAGGCAGACATGCAGGACAGGGACAGGTGGCACTTACTCTGCTGGATGGACTTGAGGGCGCGGAGCACGGTGGCGGCCAGGAGGAAGCCGCAGCCGGGTTGGGAGAAGCAGAGCCCGCCGGCGATGCTGCAGGCGGCCCCAGCACACACCGGCCCCATGGCCCAGAACTGCAGCGGGTGCGGCCGCCGGCCCCCCAGCAGCCCCAGCACCAGCGTCACCAGCGGCGTGGTGGTGGCCACGGCCTGTGCCACGTCCAGCTGCACGTAGCTCAGGCCCAGGTTGCCCAGGGCCACGCTGGTGCAGAAGGTGAGGCTGAGCAGGTAGATCCTGGCGCGGGGCCGAGGGCCCGGTGCCCGTGCCCAGCCCAGCGGGTACCCCACGGCCACGCCGGACAGCATGTGCAGCGCCGAGAGCAGCAGCGGGTAGCGGAACCCGTGCGCCGCGAAGATCCACTTGTTGAGGCCGGCCATGGTGGTGCCGGTGCCCAGCCAGGCCAGCACGCTGAGGGTCAGCGGCAGCGCCGGCCCCGGCGGCGGCCGCCCCCCGTCCGCCTGCCCCGGGTCGGGCTTCCAGGGCCGCACGGTGCCCGCGCCCGCCGCGCTCATCGCCGCTTCATCGCCCCGCCGCGACCGCGGGCACATGGGCACCGGCTCCGCTGCCTCCGGCCGCCCCTCGCCGCTCTGCCCCGTCCTCCTGAGAGCCCCGCGATGGGTGCCGGTGACAGCGGCGCTGGCGCGGTGGCGGCCGCGCTGTCCCCGCCGCCCGCGGTGGCGTTGCCCCGGCCGGGAGTGCTGGCGGAGCTCAGCGCCGGGCTGGCGGTGCCATGTGCCGGGAGGCGGCGGCGGCGGCCGGGGCCGGCGGAAAGTTTGGTGATGGCGGGAGCGGAGGGCGGAGGCTCCGCCCTGCGAGGCCAGCGCGTCACTGCCGGGCGGGCGGGGCGCGGCGGGCGCGGGCGCCGGGGACACGGCCAGCGGTGNNCGGGCACCCCGGCCCTCGGCACCCCGCGGTGGCTCCGTGGGGACAGCGGCGCCGCCTCCAAGCCCCGCCCGGCCCCCGGCGCCATCGCCGCCGACCCCGAGCCGCCGCTGCCCGGGGATTTTGGGGGCTGGATTGAACTGCCGGGGGAATCACGCGGTTTGGGCACACCTGGGAGTGCCCCTCGGGCACCGCGGTCCCCGAGCCCTGGACAGTGGGGGCTCAGTACCCCCCCAGGGGGTTACAGAGGAGGAGGATCCAGCTTGCTGAGGATGAACAGCTCTGACTCGGACTCCCCAAATTTTTGGCCGTCCCAAAAATGCTCTGGAGACCCCAAAAACGGCTGCTCCCAGCCGCCGCCTGCCCCATTCCCGAGTGGGACCAGGACTGGAGGAACTGCTGGTTTTGGTGCTTCCGTCCCACTGCACCTGTAGGACACAGAGCATCGTGTATGTCCCCTCCTCCCACCCCTGGCAGATTTGGGGTGCTGCACCACGGAAAGCAGGAGGCAGGGAGCCGGCAGGTCCTGTGCCCACAGTGGGGGTTTCATTGCCATCACCCCCCACCCTCTACCACTCGCTGAGGCGCAGGATGAGGGTCTCCCCATCCTGGGGTCTGTAGTCAGCGATACCTGTGGGGAGAGGAACAGTTTGGGGTGAGACAGCAGCCACGGGGCTGCGGGGGACCCCTGCCAGCTCCCCAGGGACCCCCACCCACCACTCACCCGTCTGCAGGGGGGTGTTGGGCGCAGTCAGTATCTGCCAGTAGTTCCGCTTCTCCTGCCGGGCCTCCAGCCCCAGCACCTGCGTCAGGAAGGGTCCCTGGGGGGTGTCCTGGGCGTGGAACCTGGGGGGTGGGAGAGCGGGGTCAGGGGGGTAGTGTGCTGCATCGGCACTGCGGGGGGGGTACAGAGCTGCTCCAAGGGAGCTGTGCACTGGGAGCTGGTGTGAGCCCGGCACAGGGCACAGGTGCAGGGCACGTGGCCACCAGAGCGTGACCCCCACACACCTGAAGTGACGGGGCTCCAGCGCCGCAGCCGCCTGGAGCACGTCCAGGAGGGAGGCGCCGGCGGGCACGGGCACCAGGCGGTCGTAGAGCCGGAGCTCGTAGCACCAGGGCACGGGACACTCCACCACCAGCTGCACCGTCTTGTTCCCCGGCACCTCAGCCAGGGGTTCCATGTCCAGGGGGGTCAGCGTGTCTGCGAGAAGCCACCACGGTACCGGTGACACCCAGCCACCCCTGTGGTGACACCAGCGCTGATCCCAATCCCGTTATCCCAGCTGCTACCTGGCTCCTCCCTGCAGGGCATGGAGGCGATGTCCAGGTAGGAGTGGCCGTGCAGCACCGGCAGCACCTGGGCCATGGTGGCGGCGGTGCCGAAGGCTTCCAGGTTCTCCAGCAGTGCAGCCATGGCCTGGCCGAACGCTGGCTCCGTCTGGCACTCACCCGTGGCCAGGAATACCTGGGACAGGGAGGGGTGGACGTGGTGGGAAGAGGGAGGAGGGTTGGGTACCTGGGCACTGCACTGCTGAGCATCACCTGCCCCAGGGCAGCTGCCTCTGCCTGGGCACAAACATCTGTACCCCACGTCTGCACCTGCACCCACATCTGCACCCCACATCTGCACCAAATTCTGCACCCACACCCACATCTGCAGACCCACTTCCCCCCGTGCCCATTCCCAGTGCCAGCCCAGATGTCCCCTCAGGTGACACCCACCTGCAGGGCCCACGGGGTGCTGTAGATGTTGCCGATGATGCCGTCGGGGCCCTGGGCCTTGGCCATGTTCCTGCTGGCCTCCTGTGCAGCCACCCGGAGCTTGGCCGCCAGCCCGGTCCCCACCAACCTCCTCTGCTCCAGGCAGGTGAAGGCCAGTGCCACCACAGCCTCGGTGTCTGCAGGGACACCCCAGAGTCACCCCAGAGTCACACACTCGCCGGGATGCCACCGCCTGTGCCCATGGGCCCTTACCCACGGTGTTTCCACCATGCCCGAGCCTTCCGTGGTGCTGGGCCGTGAGGAGCCGCCGGACCACCTCCTCCCGCACCCGCTTGCGGTGCACACACAGCGCCAGCACGCCCAGCCCGTACTGGTAGTAACTGGTGACGGGGTGGCCTTGCCGCCGGGAGCCTGGGGACAACGTGTGGTGTCACCAGGGTGAGCCGGTGCCTCACAGCTAGACATGTGGGTGCCAGGTGGGCACTCACCCCACAGGGACACTCTCACCTGTCCAGTCCTCCTCCAGGTAGTACTTGAGCCATGTCACCAGCGAGCGATGGGGACTGAGCGGGGGGCAGGTGGCCTGCAGCCCCAGCAGGTACAGTGCCAGCCGCCCCGTGTGCGGGGGCTCCTCCCTGCTCCTGCAAGGCACCGGTTACCTCCCAGGACACTGCCTGAGGTGTCACCTGCCCCGAGGGGACCCCGGGACACCCACACGTACGTGCTGCGCTCAGCGTCCCACCGGGAGTGGCCCTGCAGGCTCCTGCGGGGACAGGACATCAGCATGGGGGACAGGGGCGGCCCCAAAGGCCCGCGGGGGACCCCCGGGCACCCACCTGCCGTAGTGCCGGAAGGTGTCCTGCAGCCGCTCCAGGTAGCGCCGCTCCAGCCGCGGGTCGTGCTCGCGGGCCAGGCGCAGGGCCAGGTACACGGCGGGGTCGGGGTCCCGCGCGGGGTCCCCCGCCAGCCCCAGCAGCCGCGCACCCAGCGCCCGCACGGCGCCCGCCGAGCCCTCCGGGGGCTCTGCCCGGCCCGGGAGAGGCAGCGCAGGTGAGGGGGCCCGAGAGGGCCGGGATCCCCCCAGGCACGGCCCTGCCGCTCCACAGCCCCCCCAAGGCTGTGCGGGGCCGCGGTGGGGAGGGACCCCCGGCACCCACCCATCCACGCGCCCCACACCCTCCGCGTCCCCCCACCTCCCATAACCTCCAGAATTCCCACCAAAAAAAAAAAAAAAAGAAAGAGGAAGAAACAAGGAGATGTGACGTGGATCAGGAGCACAGAGGACCCGAGGGGGTGGCGGGGGTCTGGGGTGACACCTCCGTCCCCAGGGACCCGTGTTGGGGGTGGGCACGGGCTGGCTCCGGGCAAGGGAAGGGGCGGCAGGGACTGGGTTGGGGGGAGCTGAGCCCCGGAGAATTTGTCACCAAGGGGCTGGAGATGGGGCTCATCCTTCCCGGCCCCGCTCCTCGGGGACCCCCGAGCTCAGGGCGAGCTCCCGGCCCGGGGGTCCCGGGCAGCTTCGGGGGCCGGGGCCGCACTCACCGCAGCAGCGGGCGGGCAGGACCGCGGGCAGCAGCAGCAGCAGGACGAGCGGCAGCCCCATGCCGGAGCGGGACAGGGGGACACGGGGATGGCACAGCCCCGCCGGACAGCCGGGAGCGACGGGACGAGCCGGGAGCGGGGACAGCGCGGGAACGTGTGGCGAGAGGCCGCTTCCGCACGCCGGGGCCGAGTCAGCACAAACGGGGCAGAAGTTGGGCTGAGGCGTAGCCGGGGGCAGCGGGGGCAGCCCCGGGACAGCCTGGGACACCGTGCCCGGGACAGCCTGGGACACCGTGCCCGGGACAGCCTGCCCGGGACATCCCGGGACACCGTGCTCGGGACAGCCCGACCCGAGGTGCCGCTGCTCGGGGCAACGCCGGAGGCCACAGCCCGAAAATAGACAGGGCTGAAACCCGGCCAAACCCGCCCCCTGGAAAGGAGAATCGCCATGCTCGCCTCCAAGTACGATTTGATTGAGAAAACGGACATTGATCAGCCGCACCCGGGAGCCGCGGGACAGGCGGGGAGGGGGCACGAGCCCCACAAAAAATCCCTAAAACCAGGGGTGTGGGGGTCCTGAGCCCCAGGAGGTGGAACTCCCCCTTGCCGGGGGTGGGTGCGGTCCTGAGCCACAGAAGCGAACGCCCCGAGCCCAGGAGGGGATCCCGGGGCTCCGCTGGGCTCAGGTCCCGTCAGCCCGGGGACACCCGAGCACGGGGGACGGGCCTGGGGAGCCCCTGCTACCGAGACCCCCCGGGCCAGGGTGTTCCCAAACACCCGCCCCGCTGTGGGCCCCCAGGCCGGTGCCTGCGGTCGGTGCTGCGGCGTCAGGGACCACAGGAGGGCAGCGGGTCCCGCATGCCCGGGCAGGGACCCGCGGCCACCATCCCGATGTGCGACCGACCCCAGGGCGGGCCCGCCGGTCCTGCCTCGCTATATCCCGGCGTGCTCCGCGCCATCCCTGCCTCGCTATATCCCGGCGTGCTCCACGCCATTCCTGCCTCGCTATATCCCGACGTGCTCCATGACACCACTGCCTCATTGTGTCCCGGCACGCCCTGCGCAGCCCCGCCCCGGTACATCCCGGCATACCCCGCGCTGCCAGGCCACGGTATATCCCGACGTGCTTTGCGCCGTCCCTACCTCGCTATATCCCGGCATACCCCACGAGGCACCGCAATATCCCAGTGCGCTCTGCGCCTCAGGACCCCTCCTGCTAGAGCTCTGGGCTGCCCGTGGCGCGCCTGACTAAGCCCCCGGCGCCGTCTGCTCCGGCCCGCTCGGTGCCCGCGCCGCTCTCGGTGCCCGCGCCGCTCTCGGTGCCCGCGCCGCTCTCGGTGCCCGCGGGGCCGCTCCGGTGTGCGCAGGCCCGGCCGCGGGGCAGGCGGGGCGCGGGCAGCGCGGGGTCCTGCGTTGCGCGGGCGCACGTGGCGGCGCGCGGCCATGGGCGGGCTGGAGAAGAAGAAGGTACCGGGCCCGTGCCCGCCCCTCCTTTGGCCGCGGGCACGCCGCCCGCTGCCTCCCCGTGCCCTTCCTCCCTCTCCCCTCCCTGCCCTCCCCGTGCCCCCCGGTGTCGGTCCGTGGCTGCCCCTGCAGCCCTCCCTGGCAGCGGTGCTCGCTCCCTCTCCCGGTGCCCGGTTCCGCCCCCGCGCTGGCCGTGCCCGGTGCCCCCTTCCAGCCCCCCATCCCCCGGTTCCCGTCTCTGCTCCCCCTCCGCTCCCGGTGGTCCCGGGCCGGTTGCGGGGTCCCCTCCGCACCCCCGGGCTCCCGCCAACGCCCCCGTCTCTCCCCAGTACGAGCGCGGAGCCGCCACCAACTACATCACCCGGAACCGGGCGCGGAAGAAGCTGCAGCTCAGCCTGCCCGACTTCAGGTGCGGCCGCGCCCCCCGGGACTCCGAACCCCGTACCTGCAAACCCTCCGGTCCCCTGGAGCTCCCCCGGGACCCCCCCGGGCACCGACGGGCGGTGGAGCCCGCGGTGGGTGCGGGGGTGGCCCCGGGACCCCCCAAATCCTTCCTCCGGGATCTCCGGTGCCCCGAACTCCCCCGGGACAGCCTCAGCACCCCCCGCTCGGCATCCCCCCCACAGCCCTCCTGCGGAGCCAGAGCCCCGGGGCTGTGCCCGTCCGGACCCCAGCGACCGCCCCTCAGCCCCGGGGGGAGCAGGGGCTGAGCAGACCCCGAGCTCTGTGCTGGCTGTGGGGCTGGGACACCCTGAGCCGAGGGTCGGCCCTTTCCCTCGGGGTCTGTCCTGGCCTCTGGGCTGCCAAATTCGCGGTTCCCCCTCCAAGGGAGGGGCCTGGGCTGTCCCAGGGGACACAGCTGTGCTGGCTGTGGGGCTGGGACACCCTGAGCCGAGGGTCGGCCCTTTCCCTCGGGGTCTGTCCTGGCCTCTGGGCTGTCCCAGGGGACACGGGAGCCGTGGCCCCGCCGTCCCAGCGCTGTCCCTGTCCCCAGGCGCCTCTGCATCCTCAAGGGGATTTACCCCCACGAGCCCAAGCACAAGAAGAAGGTGAACAAGGGCTCTACCGCCCCCAGGACCTTCTACCTGCTCAAGGACATCAAATTCCTGCTCCATGAGCCAATTGTCAACAAATTCCGGGAGTACAAGGTGATTGTCCCCCCCGAGGGGTCCCCCTGGGGCCTGTCCTGGGCCACAGAGCCCCCATGGCCCCCTGTCCCCCCAGGTGTTCGTCAGGAAGCTGCGGAAGGCCTACGGGAAGAGCGAGTGGGGCACTGTAGAGAGGCTGAAGGACAACAAACCCACCTACAAACTCGACCACATCGTCAAGGAGAGGTGAGGCAGCCCTGGCTGAGCCACCTGCAGCATCCAGCCCTGGGGCCCTGCACAGGAGGGACCTGGAGCTGCTGGAGAGCCCAGAGGAGGCCATGGAGATGCTCCAAGGGCTGGAGCCCCTCTGCTCTGGAGCCAGGCTGGGAGAGCTGGGGGTGCTCAGCTGGAGAGGAGAAGGCTCCAGGGAGAGCTCAGAGCCCCTTGCAGGGCCTGAAGGGGCTCCAGGAGAGCTGGAGATGAGAGAGCAGGGAATGCCCAGCCATCCTGGGTGGCTCCAGGAGGACACAGGGAACTCCCCTGGCTCTCCCTGTGGGGTGTTTTCCTCAGAGGGCTCATGAAGGGTTAATGCTGCCAAGGCTCTGTGAGTTTGGTGATCATAAGCAAGGAGGGGACACAGGAGGGAGGAAACCCCATACCCATTCCTAAATGAGGATATTCCGTCGCTCTCTGTGTGGCCCTGCTGGGATGTGCAGGTGGATGCTCCACAGTTCCCATTGCTTTCTCACCCGGGGTCTCCCCCAGCCCCAGCAGCTTCTGCAGGACTCTGGGGCTGGCTGTGACCCCCCTCGTCCCCCACCTGGGCACAGGTACCCCACGTTTGTGGACGCCCTGCGGGACCTGGACGATGCCCTGTCCATGTGCTTCCTGTTCTCCACCTTCCCCCGCACGGGCAAGTGCCACGTGCAGACCATCCAGCTGTGCCGGCGCCTGGCCGTGGAGTTCCAGAACTACGTCATTGCCTCCCGCTCCCTGCGCAAGGTGGGACCTGCTGGGGGGCAGGGGGCTCACCCTGCCTGGGCTCTGGGCTGTCGGCTCACGGATCCCACTGGGATCTGAGGAACCCCCTGCCAGGGGAAGGGTGACAGTGACAGGGACACAGCGGCCTTCACTCCGCTGAGCCTTGCTCTGTCCTGCCAGGTGTTCCTCTCCATCAAGGGCATCTACTACCAGGCAGAGGTGCTGGGGCAGCCCATCACCTGGATCACCCCCTACGCCTTCGCGCACGACGTGAGTACCTGGGGAGAGCCCGGGGGATCGCCCCAGGATCCTTGGGGATCACCAAGGGGTGAGGGACCATCCCGTGGCACGTGGGACACGGACCACAGGGCCTGGCTGCAGGGGCACATGGGGACACGGCCGCATGTCACCTGGGGGTGCCCCGGGGCGGCCGGTACCAGTCTCCCCAGTTCCTCGTGTCCCCAATCATTAACGTGTTCCTTTATCAGCCATTAAAGATTAACCTGTGGGAGCGAGGCTGGTGGAGCAGAGGGAAGGGATGAGTCAGATCCTGCAGCCTCCCCAAAGGGACTCTGCTGTGTCCCCCAGGCAGCAGGGCACAGGGACGTCCCCTCTGTGCTGGGACAGCTTCCCCTGAGCCTTGGCAGGAGCTCACAGGCACAGCAGGGCCCTCTGCATTCCCTCCCGGGATTTCCAGGGCTGAGCACTGTTGGGTTCAGGTTTTGTGGTTTTATGGTTCTGAATCATAGAACCCTGGAATGTTTTCAGTTGGAAAGGACCTTAAAGCCCATCCCATTCCACCCCTGGGCAAGAACACTTTCCACTGTACCAGGTGGCTCCAAGCCCCATCCAACCTGGCCTTGAAGACTTCAGGGATGGGGCAGCCACAGCTTCTCTGGGCATCCTGTGCCAGGGCCTGCCCACCTTGACAGGGGACAATTTCTTCCCTACATTCCATCCATCCCTGCCCTCTGGCAGTGGGAAGCCATTCCCCCTTGTCCTGCTCTTATCCAGTTCTGCCATACCCTGCACTCTTCACCTTGAAGAGTTGTAGTCCCTGGACCAAACCCCAAGATCCCCATCCATGATGGGATGAAGTGTTCCATGTATCCAGGCACGGAGGGGTGGCAGCAGGACTCTGGGGGAATCCTGCAGAGTTCTCCCTGCTCAGGGTCTGGTGGTGGCTGTGACATCTTTGCGACTGGGGCATGTTCACATTGGTTTTCAAGAAAAGGTTCTTCCCCCAGAGGGTGCTGGCACTGCCCAGGCTCCCCAGGGAATGGGCACGGCCCCGAGGCTGCCAGAGCTCCAGGAGCCTTTGGACAGCGCTGCCAGGGATGGACAGGGGGGGGTTGTTGGGGGTCTGGGCAGGGACAGGGCTGGGCTGGATGATCCTGGGGGTCCCTTCCAGCTCGGGGGATATTGTGTGATCCTTTTCCCTGTGGGTGGAATGGGCCCTGTGGAGGGGAGTCCTTTATCCCTGTGTCCCATCCCGTGTGCTGGCAGCACCCCACAGACGTGGATTACCGGGTCATGGCCACCTTCACCGAGTTCTACACCACCCTGCTGGGCTTCGTCAACTTCCGCCTCTACCAGTCCCTGAACCTGCTGTACCCCCCCAAGGTGAGGCCACCCCCGGGGTCACTGTGTCCCACCCTGTGGTGGTGGCAACCAGATTGGTGGGATGGAGGGTGGAAATGAGAGATTTTTGGGATATCTGTTTTTGGGAGCTGCTTCTTCACCCCTTTTCCTCCCTAGATCGAGAGCCAGGCTGAGGATGAGCTGAAGCCTGCAGAGGGCAAGGAGTACGCCATGGATTCAGAGAGTTACCTGGAGGTGAGGGACGCTGCTGGCACTGTGACCCATGGGGACATGGTGGCCTTCGTGTCCTGCCCACAGCCCTCTTGGTATGGCACCAAAGGACAGAGCCAGGGTGGAGGGGGCTGATCCCAAACTCCCTGTTCCTGTAGAGTAGAGCTGGGCTCGGCCTCGGGCACCACCAGCC